GTTCATAAGACTCCCAACACAGAGCTCATCTCCCTAAACATAAATGGGAGGAGGTCAGGATGAATTTGCAAGCTGGAAATTTTTAAATCTATGTATCTGTATTTAAGCAATGACTTTTTTTTTTATGAAGCTCTGAGTACTTAGTACTGTATTTTTCCAGTGTGAAACAATTGCTTAATTACCAAGGACTTCCTTAATTTTCATTTTGTCTAAAACTAAATATTCTGTTACTCAGAATTTTAACTGTACTGGGGAGTAATATTTGTTCAAAGTTCAGTTGTCAGCTTCTAGAAGAATTTTTCAGTGCTAAACAATTAAACCTTGTGAAGGAGCCATTTCACGCATTCTTCGGGAGGCAGCAGAGACTGTAAGACTGTTTAATTGAAAATTACTCAGTAATTTCTTTATAATTCATATTAATCTTTTCTCCACCCTTTTCTTCTGTTCAGTTAATACAGCACTTGACTCATCTTTATATGTGCCTTCAACATCCCAGCACTGCAGTGAGACACATGGCTGCTCGTTGTGTAGGTGTTATGAGCAAAATAGCTACCATGGAAACAATGAATATCTTTCTAGAGAAAGTTCTGCCGTGGTTGGGAGCAATAGATGACAACACCAAACAAGAAGGTGCAATTGAAGCACTTGCATGTATCCTTGTGTGAGCATTCAAAAATGTGGAAACTTCTTCGCAGTTGCTTAATTTGGGGAAACAAAAACTGCCTGAAAAAATGGGAGGAGGAATTAAATAAAATCATAAACTATGTTCCTCCTGTAAGCAAGAAATAGAAGAAGCTTTCATTTCTATTGCCTTAATTTTAATGAAATTTTGGTGGAGATAATTCAGTTCCTCAAACCATGAAATTCACTGGGCCAAGTCTGGGTGGATGAGACCTCTCTCTCTCTCCTCTCCACCCCATTGCTTTGTCAGTAGCAGTCTTGTTCATGTAATGTATTAATGACTTTTACCTGTTGAGTGGGAAATCTGCCAGGTATATATTCATGTCAGACAATCCTGGTGAAAACTTATTTCCTTAATAACTGATCCAGGTGTAATGGAGCAGCTGGATGTTGGTATTGTTCCATACATTGTTCTTCTAGTGGTTCCAGTTCTGGGTAGAATGAGTGATCAGACAAATAGTGTGCGTTTTATGGCTACTCAGTGCTTTGCAACACTAATTAGACTAATGCCTCTTGAGGTAAGCTGAAGTTGTAAGTAGATTGAGTATGTGAACTGTCCTCTGTTCACTGTTTCACCAGCCAAAAAGTCCAGGCTTCTGGCTTACTCTGGCTACTGCTGAGCAAGTAGCTTTTTATAGATGCTGAGTCTGTATCAGATATTTAAAGATGTCCTTTATAATGTAAAATAAGTAAAATTGGACCCTTTGTTAGTAATTTTCTAAATAAATGTTGAAGTAAAATTTCTCTTTATAAGAAACTGTGTACATGAAGTTAAAATGTATACTCATCTTCTATGTAATGCTGCTTTTGCTAGCTTTATCTCAAAAGTCTCACGAGTTACATGTGTGCTCACTATGTATGCCTGGTGTTGTGTATGTGGTCAAGTCCCACTCTGGGGACTAGAAGGTTTCCAAGTAACTTATTTTCACCACCAGATGGTAATAGAAGACAGTTCAGAATTTGTTTGCATGTTTCTAATGAGGAAAAAAAAAATATTGTTGGTTTAATGGATTCAGTATCTTATCGCAAATTTAAATTTAGTATAATAACCTTAGAATCTGATAACTAGCAATCTGCATTAAATGGAGCACTTAATTTCTGTATGTTTACACTGAAATGTCAAAAAAGTTAAAAGTGAGCAAAGTAGATATTAATTTCTGGTATGCTGCTGTTCATACCAGTGCTCTTCATGTGCGTTTGGATAGAGACTTATGGGATACATATAACTTAGGTTATATGGGTTTTTCTTAAGCTATTTTAATAGAATTTAGTGAGCATCTCTTAGAAATGTAGAATACTTGTTTTATTAGTTGCATATGTGTGCATAATCAGTTCATGTTTCTTTTCCATAGTCAATCAAGAACTCCCTTAAGTCTTCACTTTCCAGTTAAGGAAGTTCAGTATTAGATATTGAAATTTATTTAATGTGCAGTCTGTGAGTGAAATAAGCTAATAATGAGTGAAAATACCAGTACTGTTGTGGAACAGTCTTTTGAATGACAGCAATTTTAAATACTAAGCCAAACAAGGAATATAATTTGGTAACTGTAGAGGGGTTGGAGTCACCTCAGTGGAAAGAGCAGGGGGTGGACTGATAGGGACTGGGGAAATGTGTTATGAGACAATACTTTCTGAAAGCATCCTTTTGTGAGGTTGAAATAACTTTATTACTAAGTTTTCATAGTTAAAATTTCATGAATGCTTTGTGTAAAAAAAACAAAAACAAAAAAACAAAACCACAGAGTGGTACTTTAGGGATACAGTTCTACTTTCTTAAATGGGAAGACTTTTTAGGGTAGCCTTGCAGATATTTTGTAAGACAAACTCTTACAGCTTTCTGTAGTTATAGTGGTGGTATAAAAAGAAAAGAAGAGACTCACTCAATTTCGTGTCCTTGAAGCATGACTTTTAGTTCTGTAACAAAACAAAGAGTCTAGTCTTCTGCGTTTATTGCTGGCATTTTATATACTGCCTAAAATGCATGACCTGAATTCAGCTCCTGGATAAGTAAAAGTGATAGAGGTCTGAATAAGCTTTGAGTTCCTAATCTGTATCTTTGTGTTGGTTTCTAACTGTGAGGAATTGGAAACAATAGCAGTTAAATGAGTTGGGAGAACTTAGTTTGCTCAGTTTCCTGTACCTTTATTCTCAATTTCATTATTCATTCAACCATAAAGGTGAAAATATGACTGAGAGAAGGATTGCAAGATAAATGGTTCAGCTTAATTTGTCCTGTTTTATTGATAAGCATCATACTGCAAGTTGACAGTATCCTTGAACAAAATTAACTGGCATGGTATTCACACTTCAGACATGTTATTTTCAAAGAGAGGATGGGAAGAGCAGTTGTTGCCCATGTGTATGTGCATCTTAAATACCTTGTTGGAGCCCTTCTAACATCTGAAATCTGGGTTAGTTTTCCACCTTCCTTATTAATCATGTACACGGTGGAACGGTAAGTTTTTCTTCTCAGCCAGGAGTGCTCCCCAGGTGATCAGTAACTTGGGTTTTGAAGTAAAACTAACTAAAGATGGAGGTGGCCCAGAAAACTGAGATGACAGATGTGATGATGGGAGAATATTACCATCTCTTTTGCTACAGTGTGTTATTAGCAAGCAAGAATGTCTGGGCATATTTGCTGTCCATATACCCATCCACAACAGATGGGTGTATGGCCTGGTAGGGAAAGTATATAGGAAGCCAGTGTCTGCTGCTGCAAATCTGGAGGAGTTTAGGTTTTTCTTTTTCCCAGGAGTTTCCAACTGCCTGAATTCATTCTATGGCTCCCAGTATCACTTTAGATCTAATTCTGCTAATATCTGTGGGAGAAAAATCCATCTCACTTGGAATAGTAGATTTGGCTAAGAGAAATGAGTGTCAAAGAATTCTCTAGCCAGCCAGATAAACTCCCTGATTAGAGGTAGAATAGCTCAATCTTTGTAAAATCTTACAGGCATAACCAAGATTTCCCATCTTCTGTGTGATTCCATCAAGCTTTTCAGTATGTCCTTTGGGGCACTGGGTTTGGATTTACACAACTGAGAAGACTGCAGATCTTTGCCATCTGTTCATTTAAAATGTCTAAGCCAGTATGACTTTTTCTTACTCTCTGTGAATTAAGTACTGTAGCCTCTACATTACTGCTTTAAAAATACTTTCCTAGGCTGGTATACCAGATCCACCAAACATGTCTGAAGAATTAATCCGAATGAAAGCTAAAGAACGTCACTTTCTGGAACAATTATTGGATGGAAAAAAACTGGAAAACTATAAAATTCCAGTACCAATCAAAGCAGAGCTCAGAAAATATCAGCAGGTAATAACTTATACTTTTATTTTAAAAAAGCAATATTTTCCAGTCCAATATGATTTTATGGAAGGGTAGGAGTTGTTTGGGTGCTGGGGTATTTTGCTTGTGGGTTTTGGGGGGGATTGTTTTGTTTTTAGCTGTGCAGTATGTATCTAGTGTTCTTGGGTAAGGAAGAGCAAATCAAGTAATGTGTACCATTTATACAGCTTTTCTTTTCATGATATAGTTTTTTCCCCTCTCTCATCTTTCTCAGGGCATGGCCAATGGGCTGTGCCTTGCTTAGACTGATTGTAGCTGCTCTCCACTGCAAAGCCAGGTCCCCTTGTGCTGTTCAGCCACTTCTGTTTCTCCCTTTATTCCCCTCTACTTTGAGTGAGGGGGCTGTAATGGATGCATTTATGGTGGGAAGCAAGCTTCTAGTTTGGCACTGGTGTATGATAGAACATACAGCTGTTTGAACTGAAGATGAACTAGGCAAAAGCTCTTTCTGTTTTCCATTTTCAGGATGGAGTGAACTGGCTGGCATTTCTCAATAAATACAAACTTCATGGAATTCTTTGTGATGACATGGGCTTAGGGAAAACTTTACAGTCCATTTGCATTCTTGCAGGTGATCATTGCCTCAGGTAAGTGTAAACAAGTAGCTTCTATCTTAAAAGATACTCTATGAAAAACAGGTTTTTATCAGACTTGTTTTTACATTCCTAAAGGGCTCAGGAATATGCAAGAACAAAGCTGGTGGACAGTGTCCCTCTTCCCTCTTTGGTGGTGTGCCCTCCTACACTCACAGGACACTGGGTGGATGAAGTGGGCAAATTTTGCTCAAAAGAATATCTTAATCCTTTGCATTATACAGGACCTCCTACTGAGAGAGCAAGGTAGTGTATTTTGCATTTATGACTTGGGTAGAGTAAAATACAACACAATTTTGCAATTTACTGCTGCTACTGAAGCATAGTTTGTAGCATGGTGAAGCTTTAAAATCTGAAATAATAACGTGTAAGCGATGTTTTAGTTATCTCCTCTATTTTATTTTTTCTTAAGATTACAGCACCAGGTGAAAAGACACAATCTCATAGTGGCTTCATATGATGTTGTAAGAAATGACATTGATTTCTTCAGGTAAGAGTTGGTTTGTTTTCTGAGGTTTTTAATAGCTTAGAATTTTAAATGGTACTTAAGCCTGTATTCTTCTTTTCCAGAAATATTAAGTTTAATTACTGCATTCTTGATGAAGGCCATGTAATTAAAAATGGAAAAACTAAACTGTCAAAAGCAGTAAAACAGCTGACTGCCAATTACAGGATTATTCTTTCTGGGACACCAATCCAGGTAACTGCTTCTCTTTTCCTAAGGAGTTGGGTGAGTGGGGTGAAAACAAGTGAAACAGATATATTTTGCAGTCTGATTGTGCTTTTTATTAGTCGTCTTGTTTGAAGTATATACATTTTATTAAAAAAAAAGAAAAGCCTTTCACTGCTAAATACTTGAAACTGCATCTTTTTCCTTTCCTAGTATACCCATGTATCAGGGAATAGGTGCAAGATCCATGGTACTAATAGGAGCTCAAAAGCTGGCAACAAGACTTTCTCTACCACTTGTTCTATAAGCAGCAGGCAGGGAGGGAACCCCAGACTTTGGGCTTTCTCCTAATGCCTTGTTCATGGAGTATCTGTCTGAGGCCACTGGTATCTCCTGGGGTTTGTTGTTGAGTGTGGCTTAATACATCAGACACAGTAAAAAGTCTTATGTGCCAAAGTATAGGTGCAGGTCTTCTGTAACTTAGTTTGATGAAAAAGCCACCAATTTCCAAGAGCTCAAAAGTACATAGAAATGTTCCATTTGTAGTTTTATGGGCAGTGTTAAATAGGCATGGAAATGTTTGTGATAACTTGTAACAACTCGTTACTTCTGAAAATAATTTAAAAAATGTTTCGCCTATGCCAGAACAACGTCTTAGAGTTGTGGTCATTGTTTGACTTCCTCATGCCGGGATTTTTGGGTACTGAACGCCAATTTGCAGCTCGTTATGGCAAACCAATACTGGCAAGTAGAGATGCCCGAAGCTCCAGTCGAGAACAAGAGGCTGGTAAGGATCAAATGTTAAATTTTTGTTTTCTTGTTTTCTTCCTTTAAATGAGAGTTTCACATGAAAAGAGAAAGTGTGATCAGTTCCAGTGTAAGAACAGGAGGTGAGAGGCGGACATTTCAATTTTTTTTTCCCTAAAATGTGGCTCCCGTTGTCTCCTCCAGGGGTTCTTGCAATGGAAGCACTGCACCGCCAGGTTCTGCCATTCCTCCTAAGGAGGATGAAGGAGGATGTACTGCAGGATCTTCCACCCAAAATTATTCAAGATTATTACTGTATTCTCAGTCCTCTGCAGGTATGCTTAAAACGTTGCTGGAAGCTTAGTGTTTTCAGCACAGTAAAGACCACAAAGGAACCACTTCTGTATTCCTGGGTCAGTCTCATGTCACCTCTGACATTCTTTGGGACCATGGGACTAAAAGGTTTTTTTGTAGTATGTGTTTTAAAACTAGTATCAGTCCAGTTACAATAGAGGATTTCTTTAGCTTAATTTCTGGCATTGTTCTGTAATGATATCTTTCCAAGCTGAAAGAAAATTGCAAGAGATTGCACTATTGATCATGTGCTTTGTGTATGGTTTTCTTGATTTATGGTAATTCAGAACTTTAAACTTGGAACTAAAATAAAAAAATGGCTGTTTGTCTTATTTCTGTCTGGGAAAACATACTCATTCTCTTGTCTGCTGTACAGGTTCAGCTTTATGAAGATTTTGCCAAGTCTCGTGCCAAATGCGATATTGATGAAACAGTTTCTTCAATTTCACTAAATGAAGAAACTGAAAAACCAAAGCTTAAAGCTACAGGTCATGTGTTTCAGGTACAGATGTCTTTTTAATTTTTACTACGTACTTGTAGCTAACTTGTACATTTATGGCCATATGATCCAAGTAAAATACTTAGGGTTTGGATCATACTGCCTGAAAGTGATGTACAGCTATTTTGATTTAATTATGTTCTTGGGGTTTAAGTAATATAAAACTGTCTTACTTCTTAATATGCTGTGTTTTAACTGGTGTTCAGCTGTTTATGGATCTTGGATACTACTTTTGATTAATAACTGATTACCAGAAATGCAAAACCTCAAAGAGAGGGAACTAATTTTGGTTTTACTAGTTGTTACAGTACAAAATTAAGATACTAAACCATGAACAAAATAAGTTAACTTAAAGTTAGATCTGAATTTATGAAGGTTCATGATCTGACAGAATTGCAGGTTAAGTCTTGGCTACTTGGAAACAATCATTCTCAAAGCCTCTGCACAGCTCCCAAACCCAGCTACTGTATCCCACACTCAACATGAAGGTGTGGGAAATGGTAGTATGCATACTTTTCCTGCAACAGGAACCAAGATCATTACACACTTAATAGTTATTTGATACAGTTCGAAATACTGGTCTAGTTAACATAAATGTGTAATGTTACCGTAATGAAAATATATCCTGAAGTCCAAATTGTGGAATGTAGCTGAGTGGCCCCTATATACTTTATAATCAATTTTGTTCATCATTTTTCTATAACTACATTATTACTATTTCTTTGAACTTCATTTCCTAAACAATTCAAGGCACTGCAGTACTTAAGGAAGCTATGCAACCACCCAGCATTAGTGTTAACAACCCAACACCCAGAATATAAAAGAATTACAGAGCAACTCGCAACTCATAGTTCATCCCTTCGAGACATCCAACATGCACCTAAGCTGTCTGCTTTAAAACAAGTAAGTAGATATGCATATTGTGCCTTAATTTCCTAAATGTGTCTTTACTGATGTTAAATTTAAAAAGCTTAAGACTTCATCAATATGAAAATTATCTTAAAGCTTCAGTTAAGTATCAGATGAAATAGAGTACAAGGGTTTTTTAGACATATGTCCTATTTTTCCTGTTCAATTCGAGGGGGAGGGGGAAGCACAAGCTTGCTTCATGATGTTTACAGAATTTTTGCTGCTTTGCCGAAAACCTTACTTTTATTCTGTTTCTTACTCCTACCCCCCTTATTACAGAAAAACATTTATTATATGGGAGACTGTTAGCTCGAAAATGTTAGATTGCAATACATACTTAAATTCTATTTTAAGTAAAACAAAATGAAGAAAGTGACTATTCTGTTGACTCTTAATTTTTCACTTTGACAGTAAAGCCAAACTTTGCATTATCATTTAAATGACTGCCCCAGACTTCCTCTAAAGTTTGTTTCTCTTATTTCTACTTTTAACAGTTCATCAGTGTCAATGTTTACGTGAGATCTACTGTCACTCTGATGATATGCTTTAATGCTCTTTTACTTTAAGCTGCTGCTAGACTGTGGTTTGGGGAATAGTGGATCTTCAGAAAGCGGTACAGAAGCCGTTGTGGCCCAGCACAGAGTACTTATCTTCTGTCAACTTAAAAGCATGCTGGATATAGTGGAGCACGACCTTCTTCGACCTCAGTTACCTTCAGTTACTTATTTACGACTAGATGGCAGCATTCCTGCTGGTCAGAGGCATTCCATTGTTTCCCGGTAAGCATATCCCTTCACAAGCAATACGAGGAACTGTAGTGAGCTATATTATTTATATGGTATGAAATTGTTCTTTGGTCTGCCTCAGAGCAGTTGAGGTTCATGAGTTCATCATTTATATAAAATTTACCATACTTAACTTTTTTTATGTGTGCAGGTTTAATAATGACCCGTCTATAGATGTTCTTTTGCTCACAACTCATGTTGGTGGACTGGGACTTAATTTAACGGGGGCCGATACAGTAGTATTTGTGGAACATGACTGGAACCCAATGAGAGACCTGCAAGCCATGGATCGGGCACATCGCATTGGGCAGGTGAACAACTCTTTAATTTCCCATAAGTTTCTTCTCTTGCTGAACTCCTGGGTTTTTTGAATTGGGATAAGGTTGTAGCATATGAAAACTGATGTCTGAAAAGCTTCCATTCGTACTGCTTCCTTGCAAGTATGCCGGATGAAGTGTATACTTTCTTATCCTATCCTGAACTTGGTATGCCTTCTAATTCTGTACTATCTGAGTTGCTGAGGAGGGGCCAGGGAAGAATCACCCTTCAGGGGAGGAAGGTACTCAACTGAGACAAGAAACTTGAAGGAAAGCCCGCACAGGGTTGTCCTTCTCTGATGCCTGGACAGGGAAAGAGTGACTGCTGTTGGTCTCCCTCTACAGCTGTAAAAAACAATGAATTCTTAACTTCCTGAGTACAGATGCAATTGCAGGTGCCTCTACTGTATGCTGGCATAGTCTCATTCTTTTAATCTGACACCAGTCAGACTTACTGAGTAAAATTACTGACGGGTAACTCCAAGCCAAACTGCTTCCAGACTCTCCATGATGAATACTAAAAAGTTATGCTGTCTTGAATACCTAAATACCTAAGATATTTTTATCATTTTAATTTCTTTTGTGTGCTTTTTTTTTTTCCTTTCAGAAACGTGTTGTTAATGTATATCGCCTGATAACCAGGGGAACTCTGGAGGAAAAGATCATGGGTCTTCAGAAGTTCAAAATGAATATTGCAAATACGGTGATCAGCCAAGAAAACACAAGCTTGCAGAGCATGGGAACAGAACAGCTTCTTGATCTGTTCACTCTTGACAAGGTAAAAAGCTGTTTTACAAATACCTACCGAAAATAGAGTAAGCTTAGGGAAAAGCTTTGCTTTGAAATGTAAAATTTGATCACACGAACACTAGAGGTTGGAATGATGGATATTAGATAGCTCTCCGAAAAACAGGAGGATGTGCTGTTTCCCCGAAAGAACTGTAAGATTTTGAAGAATTTTGCATATTCCTGAAAATATTATTTGGTATTTTAATTGACTTTTTTTTTTTTTTGTGAAGGATGAAAAAACTGAAAAAGCAGATACCTCTACCTCTTCTGGGAAAGCATCAATGAAATCAGTCCTTGAAAACCTTGGAGAACTATGGGATCAAGAACAGTATGACACTGAATACAGTCTTGAAAACTTTATGCATTCATTAAAGTAACGATCATATATTCATAATTCAACTGCTGCTAGTTCACATTCTCCTGCTGATATTCAGCAAACTTCAAAGCATATATAGTGAACCTTTAGCTTAATGTGTAAATAGACTTACTGAAAGAAGAATCTTCAAAAGAGTGGCACTGAGTAGTGTCACCTGTTTCACTGGGGAGTTACTCTGTCTTAAACATTTGCACTGTATAAAAACTGTAAATGTAAACATCGTGAGGTGGTTTGAATTTTACTTGTTCTGAACAGCTACAAATTCTTTCTTGGTAGAAGAATAAATCAAAGCAAGTTTATACATACGTTAACAAGTGTTCCTTCTGTTTGAATTTAAGTCCACCATTATTTCTTTCTGTATCTATAATAGTTTTGTACAGTTGTTTCAGTGAGTACTTCAGGTTGTTCAGTGTATATTTTTCTTTTAAACACAACTTGCTTTATGATGTATTAAGGAACAGTTTTCAACTTCAAACTTTTCAGATCATTTCAGGACTTGTATCACCAGAGGCAAAGCCTAGAAGCCTTGAAAGTATTGAATAATCATCTGGCACTAGGTGTGTGCACCCGCCTTTGTATATTGAGTATAAATATCTTATGCTCTTCAGTCTTTTGACACCATCTCGAGAGAACAGCTGACTTGAACTTTTTAATGTAATGAGCTATATTAAATACAGGTAATGGCCTATTTGAGGCCATGTTTGCATCCTATTAGCAGGGGTGTACTTTTTTTAATTTATCTATAAGGCTAGAGTATAGCCACTTTGAGAGATGCACGTATTCAGTATGTTTCAATCCTATATATTTTTTTTAACTAAAAGAAGAAATGAAATATACAGATAGACGTTTTCCAGAAGTAAATTTTACACTGTCTAGGATTCTGAAATCCATGCTAAAGTGACTGTTTACTAAACTGATGCATGATTTAAAGCTTCTTAAAGGAATAGGGAAGACTTTTTTTCTTTAGGAGAAAACATACATAGAGGATACCTACATTCAATTTGAGGTAATTGAATAGTTTAAATGGTGTAATAAAGATAGTAAGGGACTTTAATAGCAGTGAATGAGAATAACATCGCTGTATGTTACGCAGCTTTTTATAAAAGGGAGGCAGTAGTAAAAGTGTGTTTCTAGATGTGCATATGTACCAGTATATGCACTTTTTATAAATATTAAATTATAGATAACTTACAGCAGTTGTCTGGATACATAGAATATATGTATAATATAAAACCTAAGGTTTGTAGCTTGCTGTGTGCTTAAGCATCAGAGCTTAAAAACCACCAGAGACCTCAACTATGTAAAATAAGATTGTTTTAAAACAATATATATAAATCAAGACTGTTCTGCAGCATTGGAGAAGAATTTATGTCACATTTCAGTAGTTCTGAACTGCCATATTGTAACTAAATTAGCATTCCATGAAAATAAACAAAACTGGGAATATATAACTTGTATGTTGTGTATGTCCACATTTAAGTTTATTCTGTAGTGAAGACTCACTGTAGCTGACTAGGTGTAAAAACTAATGCTTTGGGAAATTACAGTTGGATTACTAGTAGTATTCTTAGTCATTTCTGCCTTCATACGTAAACATTTCTGTTGTGCTTTCAGCTGATAATGCAAGCAAGGGGAGAGACAAGATGGGTTTGGAGTTCTGTTGCAGAGAAATTATAATACTGGAATACTGGGTACTTTTAAGATGGCCTGGAGCAGTAATCTGGTGATAGTGTCCAGAAATAATATGTTTGAATAAAGAAACCTCTTATTTAGTCATAAAACACTGCATATGTTTTTCTTCAAGAGCTTTATAGGAAACTGTGTGGCTCCTGTTGGAAAAGAAATACACAGCCAAGGACTGCTTTAAAGCAGTCATCACGTTGAGGTCGCTATGCAACCATAATACTCGTAGTGATGGCTCTCTTGGATATGATACCAAAAAGACTTCTGCACCTGGAAAATGAGGGGAACAAAACCTAGAATAATTGTTTCAAGATTATTACATGTACTGACTGATCGTAAGTGTTCTGTGAATTAACACTTTCAAAATGAAAACCAGCAGGAACACTGTACCAAGTACATACAGAAAAACATTTCCAGTTAGTTACCTTAATACTTAACTATGAGCATTTCTATGTTTTTCAAGCTGGCAGACCATTTACCAGGATCTGGCTTTTTAGTGCATTTTTCTCACTGGATTCACTTACAGCAAAACCCAAGAAAGAAACGTGCTCTTGGAATGCCTCTGACCTGCACTGACCTGTTTAATGGGTATCCAACTGGACTGGACCAGGATCTGGGCTGAAATAGAAGTATTTTATTTCTTGGTTGAAATAAAATCTTCAAAGATGGTGCAGGGATGCCAGGTTGTCAGCAGCAACAATTTCATTCTAGAGCTCTGCCCCTACTACAGTGTATTACTTGAGGACAACTGCAAATTCAGTCATTGCAGGCCCCAGAAAACATGACCTGTGAATAGAACCATGCACGTCCAAGGCTTGATGAATTGTGTGTAATTTACACTGAATTACTACT